TGATTCCTATTAACTCTGCTAACGCAGTAAAAGATTTCCTTCTACAGGCTCAAGAAATCACCGTGGAAGAAGAGAAACAGATACAGCAGTCAAAAGGGGGAATTTTTGACACCCCCTCACAGATGTGGTTCAGGCCCATAAGAAACCCATAGTACCTATTGGAGCACAATTGCCACTGTTCCAGCACATACTCCAATTAACACTTTAGGCACCTGAAAAAGATGATTTTATGGGGAAAACAATACTTTAGAAACTTTCTCCCACAGTGGCCCATAAAGCCTATATTTGTGTTATATGCCCAAAGTATAATCCAGGGAAACCACTTCATGGATCACAAGGCTACTTTTCCCTTCCTAAGGGACCCTTTGAGGTATGGCAATTGGGCTTTGTCCAAATGCCACCATCTTAAGGATATAAATACATCTTGGTAATGATCTGTATGTTCTCACATTGGGTTGAGGTCTTTCCTTGCAGAAGAGTAATGGCTCTAGCCATAGGTAAATTATTAATATAGAGAATAATTCCTGTTTGGGGAATTCCTACCAAGTTACATAGTCACTGCAGAACTCATTTCACCAGGAAAACAATTAATATAATTGTAATATTTGGCTAATAATGCAGCATTTCCACTGTGTTTACCACCCCCAATCCTCAGGACTGATGGAAAGAACTAATGGCACAATCAAAACTCAACTGGCAAAGCTTTCAGAAGCATTTAATCTCTCATGGCCAAAAGCTCTTCCACTGGTTCTCCTCAATCTTAGATCTACACCCTTTGGCAAACATCAGCTGTCTCCTTTCGAGATAATAACTGGACAGCCTATGCCATTAGATGAAGGAATGTAAGAACCAACTTTACTTAAAGGAGATATTTTACATTATTGTCAAGGTCTCATTGGGGCACTTAAAAGAAACAAGAGGTTGGTAGCTGATTCTTTTCACAGTGAGCTCCCAGGAGACGAAGACATTAAGGTTCATGGATTACAACCTGGGGATTTTGTTTATTGGATAAGACATAAGATAAAGGATTCTTTGCAGCCCCGTTGGAAAGGACCATATCAGTTGCTTTTAACCAACTCATGTGCTGCAAAATTAAAAGACATAGACTCATGAATTCACATTTCTCATTTAAAAAATGCTTCTCCACCTGTGCGGGTTTCAACTCCAGTCTCTGACACCTGACTTCAACTGACCAAGATGAATAGCTACAAATCAGGATGAGAAGAAGATGACATCTGTTGTAGACAGCTGTCCTAAGACACTGGACCAGGCATGTATTCCCAACCTTATATCTCCTCATTTAAACCCTTGTAATGTTTAAACTTTATGTAATTGCTAAAATAATCAATTTCTAGATTGTCTTACCTTTTTCCTACCCTAATACTTTACCCTCCAACTTTATAAAATAGATTAGAACCTAATTACAAAACCTTCTATTAATTACAAAAATGCCATTTAAGATTTTCCTAATATTATGTTTCTTTTTCCAATCCACATCTGAACGGGCCTCTGAAGGCAATGTTTTTCTGCAGTGGGCACATTGCTGTACAGAAAAATCAGTCCAGTTGTTGGATATGTGGCCAACTTCCAGTTTCTAGCACCTCTGGGTTGCCTTGGTGGGTCTCTCCCTTTCAAGGCACAGATTGGAAAGCTCTAAAACAATTTATTGTGAAGGAAAGATCTAGTTCCAATGTTCACAGTTCGTCTGATATTACTAATTATGGTCCTGAAACATAGCCAATAGCCCATACTATTAATGATACAGGGCATGGCTACTCCTTTTCTGGTACTCAAACCATCCAATTATCCCAACAATTTGCAAATGAACAAAAGAAACCAGATATTACAGTAAGAACTGTGGAAGGTTTCACACAAATTTGGGATGGATATGCTTGGCTTACTCCTAGCCATGGATCTTTAAACATACCGGTACCTTTATGTTGGGAACAAAGAAATCATTCCAAACAAAATCTACCAAATTACACTTGAAAGATGGGCTAGATACCCCCTGACTCATGTCAGAATACTCTCATACTTAAAGAAAGTGATTGGTTTGAAACAGACTGGTCTTGGCCCAGGCATTTATTGGAAGGCTCCTAATGGAACTCAGTGGTTATGTGGAACAAACCTCTGGCCTTGGCTGCCACCTGGATGGCTCAGGCACTGCACCCTGGGTTTCCCTTCACCCAGAGCTAACATCTGTTGCCAATCTCTCTCTCCTTAAGGCCAGATAGGCTCATTTAGTGTTCCACTGGTACGACTACCTACCAGCTATATTTGTTCCTTCCTTGGAGCTAGAAGATGTCATATCACATATAGAGGCTCTGACTAAATTTATTCAACAAGCCCTTAACAATAGTCAAGCAGGAATAACTTTATTAAATACTGAAATGTCTTTAATGACAAAGGCTGTCCTTCAAAATAGAATGGCCTTAGATATTCTTACAGCATCCCAAGATGGCACATGTGCAATCATTCAAACTGAATTCTGTGTTTTTATACCTGACAAGTCTTCCAATGTGTCATCTCTGCTACAGCACATGAAAAAAAACAAACAAGTGAATGCCTTAAGCAATCCTATACCAAGTCTTGATTTGTTTGATTGACTCCCTTCCGGTATCGGTTCCTTTTTTCGATCCGATTGCAATTCCTGTTTCTATTACTTCTTGGAATTCTTGTATTAATCTTAATATTCAAACTAATTGCTGTTTTCTTTACTCAGTGTTGTAAGACTGGCATGCAGGCTAGAGTAATGATTGCTCGACGACTTGAAATGGTCGATTGATCTTATAACCTTGGACAAATTTCCTTTTCTGATAAGGACTATGCCTAAGAACTCATTTTAAAAGAATCTTTTCAAATATATTGAATTATTGTCATTGTTATTGTACTTGTTCTGTAATTGTAAACAATGTATACATAAAGAGTCATAGAAAAGCACATATACAATGTTTGTGCAACAGCCTAAAATTAATCAAAAAAAAAACCTATGAAATGCTTCCTCTGTTAGTATACATGTAACTCTATGCTTGTCCACTATATCCCATTATTTCCACCCAACGTGGACATCTGGGAAAATAAATGAGATAAAAGCCTTCACTGAGGGATATGATGGACCCAGGGCAGACAGCAACCACCCTGGTGCCAAGGGACAATATTTTGATCATGAATACTTCCTATCTAAATATTATAGATCAAAAGGGGGAAAATGATAAATAAATGTCAAGCAATAGGACATATTAGAGTATACGAGGTAGCCATTTGGTGTAAAACTAATTCAGCCTGAACTTGTTTTTTCCAAAAAGAGCCTGACATGGCCGTTGAGCATGCATTGTATATGTGCTTTAGGTATTTATCATGTCCCAAAGACAAGAACAATGCCCTTAAAGATAAAGATGTAACTTCCCACACTGGCATTTCCTTAAGGATAAGCATCTCTCCCTAAACTAAGGGTTGATAGCTGTCCTGCTGCACTGATCCTGTTACCACCCAGCTCAAGACCACAGACCTGCTACCTGCTGTGTTCATCAATCACTGTGCCAGCAAGGCAACCTCGTGACTATTGTAAAAGGGACTTTCCAATCATATGTGATACATGCTCTTTGATGGTATATAACCACTCTGTACACTCACACTTCTTTGGAGTGCTCCATTCCTTTGTGAAAGGACTCTCCTGGGCTACAAAGTCCTCAGATCTGGCTCATACTAAACTCACTCCAATTTTGATTTATAGATTTGTTATGGAATATTTGCATCAACAGTATGAACCCCACCTTAAATGACGAAGGGGGAGCTGAGAACAATTTCTCTCTACTAAGGACTCAGAAGAGGCAAACTGCATGGAATGGGCTGCCTTAGAATTTACCTTGAAAAAGCATTTACCAGCTGAGCGCCATTATTTTACCTATATTGTATATTTAAGACTAATAAAAGTAAATAATTTTGAGAAGACAGTAATCCATACCATGCAATAATGTTGATTTGAGGAGGCCTTGATGAGGGCTGATAGAGATGAGGGAGTCTACAGCTCCATCCAAAGCCTGCCTGGGCAGAGAGTGGAGGGGGCCAATGAGACCCTGAGGCCTGGGAATATGGTTTGAATCAAGGAGAGGAGACTCTCTGCTTCAGACGATTATAAGAAAGGCCAAGAAATCTGAAGGACAGCTTTTCTCATGAGAGCATTTTGCAGCATCTCACTTTCACCCCTTTTGTTACTTCCCACATGAGGGGCTTTTAAATTCACCTGGGTGTTATAAGAGAAGGAGGAAACATGTTGGAGAGTTGGGGACAGTTCCTCTGGGAAGTCTGTGCTGGGCCTCCACCCACAGAAAGGACCAGGTTGGTCGTCCAGTAGGATGACATCCATGCCAGGTGGTTCTCCTTCTGGAGCCGCATCCCCATTGCTGTGTAATCAGGAAGGGCCACTGAGTCCCCCTGGGCCTACTTGACCCTCTAGAGAAAGCATTCCTTCCCCTGCTACATGCCAAGTGGCCAGAGGGCAAGTGACAAACGGACAGACTGAATCCAGTCAGATCAGAGGGACAGTCGTTGAAAAGCACACAGGGCTATAAAAATGTGAAGCTTTTAAAACCTGACTTGTTGTAAAAGATGTAAAACAGTCTAAAAGCAAAGACACAGAATGAATACCAAAGGCATAGGGGGGAAAAGGCCATGTGTCTGGCTCCTTCTATGTATTCCTCCCCTTCTTCCTCCTCTTGTTTCCAGATCAGGAAAAAACAAGAGCCAGCTTACATGCTTCCAGTGAACTACAGTACATTGTCTCCCCATCTGAAATGATGGGCTTCCCTCTGGGCAGAGGAGCCAGCAGGGAGGGGTGTAGAGCCCCAGGCTCTGGGTCCCTGCTCAACCTTGTTCAGGGAGCAGGCACTGGGTGACTTGTGTGGCCAGTCCCTGCCCTCAGGGAGCTCTGGGAGGACAGAAACATGGACCCTAAAGACACAGCAAGAGTTACAGACAAGCAACCAGAGCCAGCTCTGGCCCCAGACTGGGAGGGATCAGGAACAAAGAGAATGCTGGAGGGATGAGGGACTGTCCAGGAAGGCATCTCCGGAGAAGAGATGACGGACCAAACTGGCAAGGGGAGCAGGGACTTGATCCACTCATTCATTTATTCATCCATTTCTTCAACAAACATCTATAGCACCTACTGGCTTCCAGACACTGCTGAGGAACTGAGGACACAGAGACGAATAAAACTGGACAACCTCACAATCCAGTGGAGAGAACAGACACGTCCATAAACAACTGAGCCCTAAACTCAGGGCTGCATCCAAATATGACAAGTGAGTGTGAGCGGAGAGGAGGGGCTGGGCATTCACCTGGCTGATGGATGAAGTTGGGGTCTGCCAGGCAGACAGCAGGGGAAGGCACACCAGGCAGAGGGGCGTGTGCAAAGGGAACGAGAAGTCAAACAGGGACCAGCCTGGCGTCTCACCTGGCTGAGGAGGTAGGTGCCCAGGGAAGAGGAAGATGAGGCGAGAGGAAGGCTGGGCCCAGATTCAGAGGGCTGGGAATGCCCAGATATGGGGTTTGGGAGATGCTGAAGGATGCCAGCAGGAGAGGATCATACTAACCCAAGACAGAAGGGACATGTTGGGGCTGGCAGGGAGGGGATGCGAGGTGTTCAGCCAGGATGGAGAGTGAGGGCAGGGGAGGCCCAGCACCAGGAGGCAGGGGGAGCAACCTCAGAATGAGCGGGGGATTCCTCAGTGTTTGAAATGAGGCCATGTCTTAATGATGTTGTACAAAGCCTTCCCAGGAGACAGAGTATTGATAACATCACGGTGCCCCACAAGCAAGTAGTTGAGACTCAGGTAACCCTTGACCACGGCACACTGGATCAGGTTCTGGGCTGCCTCCAGCGCTGCAGCATTTGGTGGCTTTTCTGCAAAACACATTTACCCTATCAATCATTAGGGTCTCAAGGATACTTGCTTAGGGTAGGGACAAGCACCTAGTCCAGTCTCCCTCTGCATCCCACCCCCTACCACCACCATAGCCAACAAATTCATGCAAATTGTGGCAACCAGGCACAAAAAGAAAACAAAGTCACTGTGTTCCCTGATTCCTCCTTGCAAAGCTTCTTCCAGAAAGTTCAAAACTGCTCTGGAAGAGAACTGCCGCACAACATACTACTTCTCATGGGAACCACAAGGCAGACATGGCACCACTGGGCCATCCAGCTGCTTCACCATAACAGGCAGTGATGCTCCCCCACATTCTTGCCATGGTTACCAAGGAAGAGGATGCATTTGCCATAAAAGCACCAAGGTTTGCAAAAGATTTTGTTCTCTCTTGCTCCACACTTGCCTTGGGTATGGCTAGAAAGAGAGATGAGCTGGGTATGGGAATGGGTGTATTTGGGAAAATGTCTTGGTGACCTGCATCCTCTACTGAGAGTCCACTTTAAAGCTAAAATGTTCTGCTGACACTGCCAGGCACCACAATGTTGCCTTTTCCCCCATGCTTCCCAGACATTCCACAGGATACTTCATCACTCAGAACCCTCTGCCCCATGCTCGCCCCTTACCTATGAAGTTGCCTATGAAGGCAATTCCAAGGGCAATATCATTGTATCCGTAGGTGTGAGAGCCTTGGATATGCCAGCCAACTCCTTCATACACACCACCATCCTGGCCCACCAGGAAGCTAGGATTGGGCAAAGGAAAATGGAGAAAGTCACGCTGGGAAGGGGAATTGGCTTATTCACTCCTTGAATCATTCATTCCTTCTTTCATCCATCTATTCGATACTGACTGAACATCTCTGTGTGTCAATGTGTACAAAACAGCCACAGTCCCTGGACCCAAGAAGGGAAGACATACAGTGGCAAACAATGATCTCAGCAACTTCAATCAGCTGCAACATGACCTTTGTTTCCACAATTCCACTAAATCTGACCCCTCCAAGGTGACCAGTGACTGCCTCGACACTAGAACAATGGAAACTTATTTTTCTTCCGGGTTATACTCACCCTGTTGACCACTCTCTTCTTGAAATGTTCTCTTCCACAAGCCTGCATCCTCCTGATTTTGCTCTACTCTGTTGCTTTCCCTCAGGTCCCTCTGCCTTCCCACCTTCCTTTCCTTGAATGTGGTGCTCCTTGGGACCCTGGTCTAGGCCCTTCTCTCTTCTCATTCCACATATTCTCCCTGGACAATCATCCAGTCCCATAGTTTCATTCACTACTTATAAAAACCAACATGGCCAAACGAACCCATCTTCTTCTGCAATTTCCTCAACCAGAAAATTGGGCATCATCCTGAATGCCTCCCTCTCCCTCTTTTCAGCCCCATCCTGTCATTAGTCATGGATCATCAATTGTATCTCCTACTTTAAACTCCTCCTCTTCTCTCTATGCCAACTGCCACTACACTACTCCAGGTCACATCACCTCTTGTCTGGATTACTGCAGTAGCTCCCTGCCCCAAGTTTTGCCTTCTTCCAATACATTCTTAAAATAGCACCCAGAGAGGTTTTGCTAAAATACAAATCCTATCATGAGGGGTGACCTTCCATTTGCCTTTCAGATAGAGTCAATCTGTCAGGACTAACTCCAAGGCCCTCCATAATGTGGCTCCTCTCAGCCTCTCCAGCCTTATCTCTCACCATTTCCCTCTTTTAAACCTATTTTTGGGTCTGAGTTAAACTTATTTCTGTTCCTCAAAGATATGTGCTTTTTCGGGACCCCAGGCCCCTGCATATGCTGCTCTCTTACCTGGAACACTCCTCGTCCTTCTTTGCCTGACTAACCCTCACTCCTTATCTACATCCCTGCTTGGATGCCCATCCCTCCGGAAGCCCTTTCCTGACACGCTTACTCCCCCAAAGTCCTGTTAGAGCCTCATCCTGTGCATATCCTGTTCCTCATCCATCATAGTGCCTAACACTCTGAATTATCACTACTTGTTTACAATCTTCTCTCTCTACTCCACAAGGGAAGGAACCATATCTATCCTACCAAGCACCGGGCACATGGAAGATACCCAATAAACATTGGTTAAAAAATTAGAAAATGGTGAGTGAGTGTGTGCTGTGCCCTGACTACAGTCTGTATCAGAGTTAGAGATGATGGTTCATGAGGCTGGAGTGGGAGGGGACACCATAACAGGTTTCAAAAGTCAAGGAATAGGGATCGAGTCCCTGAAGACTGAATGAAAAGGAAAACTAACACTCCCTCAGCTTCTGGAATTTTCCATCTTGAATTTCCAAATTTATAGTCAATTCTCCATTATCTGTGCTAAATAACCATAGCAAGGCTGTGGAAATCCTGGAGAGTGCAGCAACAGTTTTCTCCTGTTTGCAAAGGCTGCTTTTAAAGTGGGAGTTAAGAGGAAAGAGGCAGCCAGCCCAGAAGGAGTCATGCAAAAGCAAATCCACCTGAGAGTTTGTGAAATTTGTTGTGATTAAGTCACAGATGAATAAATGAAATTTGTTGTGCTCTAACCCTCAATTCTTTCTATGAAAATTCCAAGGCATCTTCTAAGTAGCTTCTGCTCTTCCATTAGCTTAATGTGTTTCTTTATTATAGACCTGGAATTAGAGGAACATTTTGATTTCACTCTCTATCTTCAAACAGATAAAGTATTATTGTCCCAATTGCAGGGATGAGGCAAAAGAAGCCAGCAAGGTTAAAAATTTCTGTATCTATAAAATGGAGTAAACAGTACCAGAGATATTGCAGGATTCTAACATCATAGAGAGCAAGTTTGAGGTTGGGCTAGACTGTGGTAGGCAGTGAGCAGGGCCTGTGTCTCTGAGTGGTTGGAAGGCATTCCATAAAAAAGGCACAAACTTTTGAGGGCTTTCCATAAGGATCTCATAGTCTTGCTTTGTTACTATTGCTTCCAGTGTCGTGTTTTCAGAGTCTTCCCAACAACTTGTGGAGAAAAGCACAGGAAAGATAACTGACTCTTAGCTATGTTCTGAATGAGACACGGTCCATAAACTATGATGTATTATGTAAAGCACCTGGCACAAAGGAAGGGCTCAGTAAATATCCTTTCCCTTCCCAAGCCTTCCTTCCTACAGCCCTGAAGAAAAGGAGGGTCATGTTTCCACCAATCCCACTTACTGATACCCGATGTCACAGAAGTTCCGTGTGTCCATGTGGAAGGATTGTATGTCTCGGACTCGAACCTGGCAGTCCATGGATACGTTGCAGGTTGTGCCTGCAGTGTGGATGATGATGACATATTTGGCTGGGAGGTTCATTTTGGGGCAATGTGACTCTCTGGCTTCCCAAGCTGACCGCGTGATGATGTTGGGGCAAGCTGTGGTGAGGGGGAAAACCAAGGATGTGGGAATGAGCCTGTGCCCACATGTGGACAATCTCACAACTGCAAGCTGGCCTACACTTCAGTCTCCCCAAACTCTGGCACCCTTGGCACATCCAAACATGAACTCGGCTGTGGGATTCTGACAAAGTCTAGATAGGTATTGTCTGGGTCAGGTGGCTGGAGCCAAAGGACAGAGGCTACAATCCACAGGTTCTGGTAACAACTATAGAAGCAGTGTGTGAACAGAAGGGAAAGGACTGTTGCTCCTACAGAGCATGTCCATTTTATTCAAAAAACAAAGTACATCTACGTGCTTGAATATGCATTGCAAACACATGCAGATGTGTCTACTTATGGAGCAGGGCCGACATGCAGAACTCAGCTGACTCTCTGAACTGATCACATGTACATGGAAATAGTTCGAAATCTATAAAAAACTCTACAAATGTTAAAGAATTATCATTACTGAAGATAGCACCTGTATGAAAGCAAGAAAAACTTTATTCAAAGATTTACAATTTAAACAAGCTTAATAAAAAATATCCTTGAGTCCAAGAAAATATCCACTCTAAAAGGAGTGTTAAACTACTGAGAGTGTTTATTAATTGTACTGGTTCTGGGTTGCTGCTTGTTCACTCCAAAATAGAGTACAAGTTTTATTATCCAACTCCTTGGAATATTCACTCTGATGTCAGCATAATCTGTGAACTCAAGTTTGTCTCAGTGTTGTGATCAGGTTGCTGTTTGGCTGGTTTTTGCATTTAGAAAGGCGTGTGTGTGTGTGTGTGTGTGTGTGTGTGTGTGTGTGTCTATGTGTACTCACGTAGTATACACAAATAGGTATATATGTTTACTCCATCCCGTTCCCATGCTTATTTTTCTCCATAGCCTTCATGCCATCTGACATCACATGTATTTCACTTATTGATTTCTTCATTTTCTGTCTTTCTTCACCAAAATGTGCAGTTTTGTCTGTTTTATTTGCAGCTGAACTAGACGAGTTCCTAGTATTCAGTAAATATTTGTTGATTGGGTGAAAATGTGTGTACATATATATTTATGTCGAGAATGGTTCCATGGCTATAGCATTCTAGTAGGAAGGAAAGGAGGTCAGGAAGGTACCCTCTCAGAATTTTCCAGATCTCACAGTTATGACAGTCAGGAGAAGTTCTTGGTCCAAGAAGCCAATGAACACCAACAGGAAAGAATACCTTCTCATGTGGCTGATGGTAACTGGGAGTAGCGTGAGGCAGGATTGAGGGTCTCACCTTTCCTGGGCATCACTGGCTGTTGAGGGGCCAGGCAGCTCTCTTCTTTCAAGAGAAGTGGCTGAATATACCTGGGTGACAGGTAACCCTTCTGGATGGCATAGGAGATCAGGCCCTCTGCAGCTGATAAGGCAGCAAGGCTGGGACTGCTGCCTGAAAGACAATGACACAGAACACAGAACTGTCAGTAAGAAACTCCAATCAGGTCTAGATCTGGAAGGAGGATAAGATGAATACCTCAGCCTGAATAACAGATGGATGGGAAGAGAGGAAACAGGTCCAGTAGCCAGGACAGAGGGCCTAAGAGGCAAGGAACTACTTGGACAGAGCTCTTGGAAGCCAAAGTTGGTGACCTCTTCAAGTGCCAAACTAAGACTTTATTTATCTGCTCCATCTCTAAGTGGAAGAGCTTGGAAGCAGTAAAAGCTACATGCAAAGGAGGCCCACCTGACCAAGTCAAGTGTGCCCTAGCGTGGAGAAAAGGGTGACAGTATTTACTTAGTAGCTCCTACAATCAGGCATGTGGCAGTGCTTTTTACATTCATTAACTCATGTAATTCTCACAGAAAACCTCTGAGATAAATGCCATCACCAGCCCCAGTTGGCAGATAAGGATCCTGGCAGGTACCAGTTATTTATGTATTAGCTCTCAACACCACGCCAGCTTTGTGCTTTCCTCTGTTTTGCGGGAGGCTAGAAATCTGCAAACTACATCTCCCAGACTTCTTTGCCTGCTGGTATCTGGTTGGGTTCTACCAATGGGAGATGTTGCAGGAAGAGAGAAGGCATGCTTTTCTGCCTCTTCCAGCCACAGCCTCAGAGTCTCACAACATCAGGCTCCGGAAGTGACGGCAACAACTGTGAGCTCAGTGTCAGTAGTGGCTTCAGCAAGCTCACAGCAGTGCAGACCAGAGAGGAGGAGGAAGACAAAAACAATGCCATGTCATAGAATCCAAGGGAGAAAAGAGCTTCAAGAGAGGGACAGTTGCCAGAGAGAACAAAGTATGATGCAGGCTGAAAAGATGAGTGTTGAGACGAAGAAGCAGAGGAAAATAGTGTAGACAACTCTCTGGCAGAGGGGCAGAGGGGGTGACCATTACCGATCTTATTGCCAAAGAAGGCGAGGCCCAGGGAGATGTTGTTGTAGCCCTGGGTGTGCATGCCTTGGATGTTCCAGCCGACACCTTCATACACCCTGCCGTCGTTCCCAACCAGGAAGCTGTCAGGCAGGGAGATACAGATTTAATGGCAAATCCTTGTAACAGAAAACCTCTCACCCACCCTCAGAAGGGAAAGAGTTCTAGAGGCTCATAAATAAGTACTATGCTTCAATGACATAACAGTGGGAGGGAGGGGGAATAAGTCATTTTAGACTTCCAAGAGATGTGGAAATACGCTTTAAATTTTCTTATGACTTGGCTTACATGTGTTTCCCCGAACCTCTCTTTAAAAATACACATTTGGTTCAAAGTGGAATTGATATGTGTGACTCTCAAGGACCTGAGGACATTAGTTCATCATTTTTCAAGGGCATGACAATTCATTCATCATGTTTTTAAACTACAGGACCAAGCATTTGAACATTTAAAACAATCAACCTGAATTCAGGAATTCTATTGACTTTTTCTTCAGTTTCTCCTTAGGAATTCCCGTAAGCTCTTCTTTATCACAGAAATTTGTTTAGAATGCTCCTTTTTTCAGTTTATTTTTTAAAACGAATGTGTCTATCCTTTTGTTCTACCTCCTCTTTTCTTTCTGCCTCTTTATTTCCTTTCTTGTCCTCCACTTTCTAATCAGTCTTCAGAATTGATGTTTTCACAATTCTTGCCATATTCAGCTTTTAATAGACCAGGAGTTTCCACAGCAAACTGAACACAGAAAGAACACTTCCCTGAGGTCACCCAAAGACCTTGAACTGTGTCAGGCCAACTTCCCACCCTGTGCTGACACTGTCTTGAGGATGAGGTGGGGGCCTCAGCACGTCCACCACGTCCCTGGCTCTGCTGCCAGTACTTTCATCAGGTTCCTCTGTCACTCTGCAGCCGCCTTTGGTTAGTCCAATGTGAATAGTCCATATGGCTACACTCAGCTGCATTGTACAAACTGGAGATTGTTAAATTGTCACCGCAGAAACGTGACTTAGAGATGCAGTGGCTAAAATCCCTTAGAAATATTGTGGCTGAAGTAGGCAACGCAGCAGTGACAGCAGCAGGGCGGTGGAGGCGCAAGAGGCAGGGACAACAGCTGACTGTAGCCAGTACAGACAGCATCCACAGAGTGCAGATGAAAAGGCCCCCACCCGGTTCCAGGGGCTCCGGTGCCTACAACGGGAGCCTCCAGCTGCTCTTACTTATTTGCATCTAAAAATAAATACATAAGAAGACGTGGGTTATCCCTTCCAAAATGGATAATTCAGAAATCATTTAGATTTGTCTTTCAAATTCAGGGAAGAAAGCCTCATTCCCATTCTCTCTTTCTCTCTCCTTCTACATATATATATGTAGATTCTTGAGGGGAAAAGAAGAGGTTCTGGGCCTCCACCGATAATCTTCAGAGTGGATACTCAGCACACAATGCAAGGATCCCCATGCCTCACACTTGTGTTAACAGGGGGCTCTCCTCCCTCCAAACGCAACGCCACTGCTCCTGTGGGAACCTGGTCTCACTGTGAGGTGGCCTTTGTGACCCCTGGTGGGAGACTGCTCCTCAGGATGAAAGCCCTGCCTGTGTGCGGAAGTGGGACAAGTGCTGGACAAGCAGGCAGGCTTGGAACAGCTCTGAGTCCACACTCCCTAGACGTGTGACTTTGAGCAAATTCTCTAACTTCCCCAGATCACGGCATTCTCACCTGGAAAACAGAGAATGGGGATATTTCTCCTACCCATTCTTCAGAGTAGCTGGGAGGGCCTACTTGGGTAATACTTGTGAAGACCTTTATAAACTGTAAAGCTCTGTGAACTCTAAGGTGGTGACTCCCTTTACGTTATTAAACAACCTCCCCTGCTTCTTTCCAGGAGCTCCCAGAGTCCAAGAACACATATGAATAAATGGCTCAGAATCGTCACTCCTAATGACCCCTGGGGGATTTTGGATTTTGCTTTTGTGTTTCATTTTTTGTTCATTATAAAAGCAACATGAATGGGAAAATGGGAAAAACAGAGAAGGGGAAGTGGGAGGCCCCCGCAGAGGAGTAACTTGAATGTGGGCTCCTGGAACCCGACCAGTCTCTTACTTGTAGGCCACATCACACCAGCCTTTGGTATAGACAGAATGGGACTGTAGGCCCCGCAGTTCCTGGCTGCAGACGTTCAGCTCCTGGCATTCTATCCCCATGAGCTGGTCCGTGATGATGTAGGCCACAGGCAGGGTCAGCTGGGCCCTGCAGGTCTGTGATCTCGCCCCCCACTCCTTGCGGGAGACGATGGTGGGAGAACCTGCAGAGGGCACCACAGGATGGCATGCTCCAGACCAACCCACTTCCTCTGGCAGGCTGTCCATGCCATCCTGAGTCCTGTCACTTCAGGGCCCCCCCTGCCCCACGGTGGTGGGAGAGGCACCTGGAGAGGCCTTCACCCTCCACAGCCTCCCCTTTGCATCTCCATGTCCTGTTTAGGCTAAAACAATCCCCATGCAGACTGTGCACTCAGCCTGGGAAGTCAAGTTGCCTTGTTCTGCAAACACTTCCTCCTTGTACTTCCCTAGAGGACAAAGCCCATCCTCAACTTCTCTCTGGCCTGCTTCATGCTCCCCACCTCCAGAAAGCAGCCACAGCAACACCCATGCCCAACCCAGGTGGTTCTGAGCTGACTTCTCTTGCAACAGATCAGCATACATGCCTCAGGATGCATTTTCCTCACTGGCGTTTGCCCCAGGTCTCTGACTGTGTCTTTTGTCTGGCCCTCCCCTGAGAACGGTGACTCTGAGGAAAGCTCTGCTACTGTCGTCAAACTAGGGGCTCCCTGGTTCCAGAGCCCACAAGAAGCTCCATGAACATCAGGTACATGTCTCTCTCTTTCAGATGAAATCTCACTGTGGGCAGGGCTGTGAGAGTCCCACACAGGACCCCAGGACCCCAGGACCCCTGAGTGCTCCCTTACTATCCTTACCTTGGGAGCTCCCAGGAGCTCTCTGAGGGATAGGGTGTCTCCACTCTCCTACGGAGATCTGGGGACTGAGGGCCTTGTCTTTTCTCCCTGGGTTTTCTCTCCTTCCTGGAACACACCTTTCCCTAAGGACTCGGGACAATCAAGTCTCTCCTGCCTCCTTATCTGAGCAGCTCTGCCTTTCCAGGTTCGCCTGCATGCCTATTAATAGATCAGAGTGTCACATACCAAGATGGTCATCATCATTTTGAGCTAACATGTATAGATTAAGCACCTATTGATCCAGACTCTTCTTGAAATATAGAAACTTCCAGACTGTTGTGACTGCCCTCACAAACTAGATTTTTTAGATAGGATTAATTGAGAATTAGTCATCACGAACATGCCTCAACCCCCTCTGCCTGTTCAATACCAGAGGTCATTGGAGCAATAACCACTAGAATCAGCAACGTCACCAACATCACCTCCCGCAGGCCAGCTCTGTAGTTTACAAGACATTTTCAAGGGCACTATCAGATTTGTGGTTTAAAACAATGTTATGAGATAAGCAAAGCAAATTAACTACTCCCTCTAAACAGATGAGAAACTGAGGCTCAGAGAGGTTAAGTTACTTGTCTAAGACAGTACAGGTTTTAAACCGCGGACTTGGATTCCAACCCAGGCTGTCTGACCCCAGGACTGTGTTCATAGCTACTACACTCTGCAGCCTCCCCAAAGTCAGATGACCTTGGGCAAGTCACTGCCACACATGGCCTGTTTCTCTGTCTATAAGACAAGGTCACTTAGGGTCTCCACCACGGTTCTGAGATTCTGACTTGCTGTGAAATCATCAGGAGCAAATACATGACCATGACACTGAGGCCTAGATATGCTAGGCAGGCTGGAGAGACTGCGGAGGACGGCAGCCCATCTCATCAGGGGAAAGGGGACCTGGACTGGGCTCTGAAGGGGACATAGGACTGGCAGGGAGGAGTGATGATCCTGGAGAGGATGATTTACAAATGTAACCAGGCTACGGCTGATGTGAAAAGAATTTCTGACCCAGTGAAGGAAAACTCACCACAGGCCCCGAGACCCACAGCAGAGAAGACAAGAAGACACGGCAGCATCTTCACATGGTGCCAGAACACTGATAGGGAGAGAGTGGACCACAGCCCTAGGAGAAATGCTGACAGTTAACCCGACCATGCTCACTCTTCAAACGGGGCACCCACCCCGCTGCATGGTGCCCCTATCTGCCTCCCCGCCCAACTGTGGGCCTCCTGAGGGCCAGCATCTGGTGAGCCTTCTCAGGGTCCCCAGCACAGGGCCTGACCCTTGGCAGGTGCTCAACAAAGGTGAGGGTGCCAACACCTCTGTCTAGCTACCACACTCACCAAACTCTTATTACCCTGAGAGCTCCTGGTCCCTCACAGGAGCCCAGTGCCTCATCTTAGGCCTCCCAGCATAGATAATAACAGATAATAAAGATAATAAAATGCTTGAGTAGCTGTGATGAATAAGCTCTGTGTAGGTATATTCACATCTAGTGCTGCAATTTTATATTTAATCCTATAAGATATTCATAACCCCTTATTTATAGGTGAGAACACTGAGGCTCAGAAGGAATGAACTACAAATAGAGGCAGGGGTAGGCTTCATACCCAGTACTATTTGAGAGTCAGAGACATGTTAAGTCATCCAGTTTGGTCCTCCACCCTGCAAAGACATATGACAGATGCTCAACTAACTTCTTGTGTGAGAATAATAATAACAACAGCAGTTACCACATACCGATTACATCCTACATTCCAGATATTTGCTGAGGACTCCACAGATATTTCATTAAGAATCCTCACAATGACCTAGGAGACCCACACTTATCATCAGGAAACTGGGCGTCAGAGACTTTGAGTCACTTGCCCAAAGTTACCCAACCAGTAGGGGCAGGTCAGGATTCATACCCAGGTCTGTCTGACTCCAGGACCTCTGCCTGGAACTTCTCCACCATCCGCTTGAGTTTCTGATGGAGGAGAGTCTCAAGGTGGGCCCAGGAGGTAAACTTCAGCATCTCTAGGGTCCTTTCAAACTGCAGGCTTCTTTTCAGCTCTCTCAGGTGGAAATGAGTTGCTTACTTGTGCTCAATCAAAATGAAATATCAACTCCCTGAGATGTCAACAAAAACATCAACTTTTCTCCCAATAATCCTACTGAGAAATTATAGGAGGTTTGAGATACAGTGGGGGAGATCATGGCCCTCCAGAGTTTTTATATTATAATCGGTAGTCCCCAGATGGAAAGTGTTTAGAACGACAGTTTAAGATTTGAGCATGTAGGAGCTTCCTGGATCAGGACAAGCAATCCCTTGGCGAATAAGACCCAGGATTCTGTGCATTCAGGAAAACTGTGCACTGAAGACAAAATGAGCTCATCACAGAGGAGGACAGGCACCTAATAAACATGTGGGAATGTGTTCAGCCTCCCTCGTCGGCCAAATGAAAAGCAAGGATTAACTTGCCCAAGATGGAAGCCCTGTAGGCTAGCATCCCAGGAAAAGAGGTGGCCTCCTGCAAAGCTACCTAGAAACCGTCAATCAGTTCTGGTCAACAGAAAGTTTGGACCCTGGTCACTTGATCATGGTGCTTCCTCAAACGGGAATGTGTATGTGGCAAAAGCTATCCTGAGCTTGTCACATCATACAGCTAAAATTGCCAGGTTTGAGCCCAGCCTCTGATCATGCCAGGGCAGGGAGTGGTAGTGTCTCCCACCTCCACCTCTGATCGCAAACACTGAGCTGGCAAGATAGGCTGGAGCCAAGGTTCAGCCTCCTTGGCTCTCATTACTATGCATTCTGAATACTTAAAGATGAAATACTCGAACAAGAGACAAGTGAGACATAATAGATAGGGATCCAGGGCTAGACAGAAAGGGAAGAAATTGGGTAGAGGTAACCCTAGGGCCTTGACCTTGGCAAGAAAGACTCAGGAAAAGTAGAACTAAAGTTATTTAGGAGAATTTAGAATAGAGAAAGTTTTCTTATTTGGTGGAAGAATACAAGAGGGGAACTCTCTCCACCCTGTTAACATTTTGGCCTGATAGAGTCCTGTCCCTTCGATGGGAGAAGAGGGCTTCTCAAGAAGAAACACACTCACACTCACACTCAGAATACTTGTGGGTCCCGTGCTGTCCCAGCCCCAAAGGTCAGGGTGCAGGCTGCTCACCCCTCATTGGCTGGCGCTCCTCCCTTCCAGACTTGGCCTCTGGCCCTGCCCTTCTCCAGCTGCTGCCTCCTCTGGTCTTCACTCTCCTGTGCACTAGAGGGCACTCCATCCCTGGGAAGGAGCACTGGGGCTCTGGCTTTCCAGAGAGAAGAGGAAAGCCCACGATCCCTAACAAAAGGTGGAGAGGAGGAGGAGAGCAGAGTTCTGAGGCTCTGAGCCGGCTCTGTCCATAGCACTGAGAGGAACTAGGTGAGACCAGACTCTGGCTGAGAGCACGGGGACCTACCCTGTGACTAAGCCCAGGTAACTCCTCCCTGGGAAAGGATGAGATTGCCCAATCCTCCCTGAGCAAATTCCTCATCCCCAGCTCTGAAGAAGCCTGGCCAACCTGGGGGTCGTGTCCCAACATCTGACGACTTGCTGCCCTTGGAGACAGATTTGCTCCAAGAGTGTGAAGGCTGTGGATGGAGGTCACTCACCACACTCTGCCCCACATGCCCCCTTCCACCAGGATAGAGGCGGAGAAATAGAAAAGTACATTCCAGGAGGCAGCACACAGTATGTCATCATCACTAGAACTTATTCTGACCCTGTGGCCACTGGCCCATTCATCTACCACCCCCACCTCAGCACAAAACTGTCTTAAACAAATGCCACAAGAAGCATTCTACAAACCAGGGGCTCTCCACCTTTCCACCCACTCCTCATAGTGGTCTCAGTCTTTAGCTCCAGTCTCCTAGAATCCCTGTACCTTCTCTGAGAAGGTTTACACATAAGACTTTCCAGTCATGCTCTGCCAAGGGTACCTGAGTTGCAGCCCCCTGAAACGGGAGTGCTCAGACCAGAGGCCCTGAAAAGCACGCTGCCATCTCGAGAGGCTACTTGAATACCACTATGTTCTACACACCAATGGGCTCAAATCAACTTCAGGAACAAGAGCTAGGAAGATCTTTCTTGGAACCTAGAGCCTTGTATGCCTGTTGGGGTCTGAAGGAGACATGTTTAATGAGCTCCATCCTCCATAAAGGTGGGGGATCAGGCCTCAGAAAGCGACATCTAGCAAAGGGACCAGAAATTACAGCTGGTGACAATGACAGAAGTGAGCTTACAAGTTTTCCTAAACCTTGACAA